AGGCACGAGGGGCATGCCGCAACTCAGGGCATGCCCTCAAAGGCATGCCTGATTTTTTACCCGTGCCTCGAACCCTAGCATACGATCTTACCAATTCTAAATAATTAATACTGTATATGTAGCAAAAAAATTGCCTTAAACTGCTTTTACATAATTATACGTGATAATTTTATACGTAAAACTAAGCTCAAATATACTCTTGTTATATATACGTAAATGATGCATATGTTTAAACACTGTTTTAACCATTGTGTAAAACTATTTTTAAAAAAATATATATATTTATTAGATTAATTAAAATATTATTAATTTTTTTTTTTTTTTTTTTTGACAAACAATAAACTGACATATCGATATGAACAAAAATTTTATGTGTATCTGATTGTTTAAATTATATCAGATTTGTACAAACTGTACAGTCTATAAAAAAAGTATACATTCTATCTCTTTTTTTTTTTCGGGTTTTTTTTTTCTTTAAACATATACACAGAATAGTAATCAGCTTAATTTTTAATTTTACAATACCAAAAAAATCAAATCTCCAATAATAAAACTACCTATTGAAGTTACTAAATTATATAAAAGCCAAAAATAAACATAAATAGATAATTACTCAATATACAATACTTTTAAACACCTTTTTTTTTTTTTTTTCGGCCTTTAAAAAAGAATTAAAATGAAATTTTATAATTAATAAATCTAAATTAGATCAATCCCGATAATTTAAGTAGATTTAGAAAATCTCCTAATATTAAGAGTTCACATGAATAAATTATTTAAATCCAGGATTTAAATTAAAACCTCGCTTCTCTGTTATTCGATCACCAGACATAAAAATACTACATAAATGAGGTTTTTTTGCTGCTTTCATTTCTTTTAAATATTCAATAACTGCTGCAACATGATCATCTGTTAAATGATTAGATGAATGTAAATCTAAATGTTTTAAACAAGATTTACTATCTTTGAGAAATGTTTTTAAAGATTCAGGTGTAATCATCCATTGTCCTTTAATATTTAGGGTTGACAATGTATTCGGCCATCTACGACTCATTTGTGTTAATAATTCTTCAACATTTAAATCACCATGACAAATGAATGTTGTTATTTCAAGCCTATTATTATTATTAAAGAATTCCATAAAATCTTCGGTTTCTCCTTGACGAATTTGTAACCGTAAATCAATAATATTTATACAATGACGAAGTGCTTTTATTAAAGTTTGTGATCCTTCTTCATAATTTCCAACTCTTGGTAATACGACATGCTCTAAACTTTTATGCGAATTTTTAACAATTGCTGCAATATCACTTGGATCTATCCAATATCTTGCTGAATCTAAAAAATTACAATAGAAACCGAGTGTCTTTAAACGTGGGAAAAATACCTTTGCTAAAGGTCGCATCTTTTCTGCTAAATATATGCATTGTATAAATTGAATAATTTCCAAATTTTCACATGCTGCTAACGGTTCTAATGAATCACAATGTGCGAAATTGCAATATTCAAAATGAAGTGTTGTTAAAGTATTTGCTTGTGTTCTAAGTGCATCAAGAGTTCCAATTAAAATAATTTGAAGCCGAGTTTGATAATCCCATGAATATTTAAAAGCTTTTAATCTTTTTTGTGCTCTTATAAAAACACTTAAAGCTTTAACTTCCATCCCTTGTTCAACACCACCAACCCACATAGTTTCAAGAGTTTCTGACACTTGAGACATGACTCGAAAAATATCTCTTTTACCACCGTGTTTACTTACACAATGAAATGATTTAAGTCCAATTAAACAAGAATCAGCTCCAGGTCCTGCTAAAAGAGGTACCAATGGCATAGGTGCCTCATTAGATAAATCTGATAATGAAAGAATTTCAAATGTTGGACATCTATTCATAAACAATTTAAATAATTGTTCAGTAATTAAAACCCTTAAAAAAGTTGATTGTTGTTCATCACCAATATTATTAGACTCTGTTACAAGCCAATCAGACACAGCACTATATAACTCTACAAATTTTAGTTCACGTAAGAAAGACGGATAATCAAAAATTGGTGGACCTTTGGTTGTTGAAAGTGGTAATATTACACCATTACTAACTAAATATGCTTTTGATTTTTCACAAAGGCATATAAGGTAAGTTTGTATGACTTTGGCTGTTTCAAGTGACGGTCCGTTTGCTGTTCGAAAAGGTGACCTCCATAATAAGGGAACAACGACTTTACACCAACTTCTATTAACCAAAAGAGAAGAATAAAGAGAGCCTTTATCAAGATATTCAAAGATTTCGCGAAGACATTCTGGTGGTAAGGAGATAGCAGCGGTTTTATAACCTAAAAAACGTTCAAAATCAACAGACTTTTGTTTTGTGGACGAAAACGTGGCACCCATTTTTTTTTTTTTTTATATATATATCAAAAGATGCTAAAGTGTCGAGAATTCGAATAAAAATATTCATATATGTGGGCCATGCAAGGATTAGCCAATCAAATATTCTTCGTTGCGGTCCAATCATTTTAAAATAATATTCGATTTATCTGACTACGTAACAAATCTTTTAAATAAGGAAAATTTAACTTATGATTATTACACAATTTATCTAAGATCCGACAATCTGAAATTAATAAAATAAACTCAAATCAAATAAACATCTTTTCGTGATTTTCGTTTGCTTGCAACATTTTTTGCTCACAGAAACGTCAGTGATACTGTGCTCAAAAATTCCATAAAACGTTCACGTTTATTTATTTTTTAACACAAGGCTAGTACAGTTTCGGATACATTATCGCCGTTTTGGATCGGATATATATCTCGAAGATCGACATTGTACGTATATACTTGACTGAGATCTAAAAATATGCATGCGATTAAACAATAACAATAATACCATTTTGTCATAATAAATATTATACGTAGGATTATCTTCGCTAGGAGCTGATCACAGTAAAGATGATAAATTACTTTATATTAACATCTCTTAACATACGTTAATTTAGTATTAAGCAACATCTATTTTATTGTTTACAATTTTTTAAATCAATGCAAGAATGTAAAGTAAATAAAATCACGTTACAATTTATGCATAACATGATTATAAAAAAGGTACAATTGTTCTAAATAAAATTAAAGTCTAGCAAACCCACGGACATGTAATATAAAAAATGTTCTAATAATCAGTTAATCAACTGCCATCGTGTCTCCACTACTCTCATCTTTGTTATCACTTTTAGGTTTATCTGTGTTTTGAACATCTATAGTAACACTCTCCGTCATTGAAATTTCTTCAATCACAGTTTGTTCAGTATTGGTCTCTTTAGAATTGGGTTCTTCGGTTTTAGGTTCTTCAGTTTTAGATTCTTTAGTTTTAGGCTCTTCAGGTTTAGGTTCTTCAGGTTTAGGTTCTTCAGGTTTGGGCTCTTCAGGTTTGGGTTCGGGTTTCGGTTTCGGTTTCGGTTTTGACAAGATTGGGGATGCAAAATGTACTAAATTCTGTATAAATTTAAGGCATGTACATATTAGTATGATTTAATTATGCATTGTGCAAATCTTTGGACAAATTGTTAACTAACCTCTCGCTCCTTATAAATTTCCCGACATAGGACCGCTGGCGCTTCATATTTTGGCAAACTTTCCTGCGCTTTCAATTTTTCATTTAACCATTCCGATGTTTTTGTTGCTTTTTCCACAATGCTCTTCTTTTCTTCTTCAGGAATATGTGAAAATCTTTCTTCATTACTAGATGCATTAAGAATAAATGATTGTATGCTTTCTTGTAATAATTGTACAGCTTTGGGTCGTTCTTCTGCTTCACGATATCGTTCAGCGATAGGTCCTCCAATAGTTTTCAATTGATCAAGTTTTTCAACGTATACCGATTTACTAGCATCTTCCCCTTCATCATAAAGCCAGTTTTCGGTACTATTAAGAAGTTGAAGGAAGTTATCTTTATCATTAGGATTAACATAATCACTATAGGTCGTCTCCACTTTGGATCGCGTATCATAAACGTATTCTTCAAGTGCATTCTTTTGTGTCTCTGTATCAGCCACAAGTTTATCAGATACAATCATTTGCGCTTCTAGTTCTTTATATTGTGTGATAGCCGATTTTTCTAACCCATTATGGCAAGAATTGACTAGTAAATCTGCCTTCTTTACAAGCTTTTTCACTTTCTTGACAGGACTTGGTTTGGCATTTTCTGAAGGTGTACTATCAGTATCCATCGGTTGTGGTTCATTCGTTGCATTTTGTGCATTTGATGTATTGGTTGCATTTTGTGCATTTGATGTATTGGTGGCATTTTGTGCATTGGTTGCATTTTGTGCATTGGTTGCATTTTGTGCATTGGTTACATTTGTTGCTTCTTCTTTTTCTTCCTTAATTACTTCTTCCACAATATGAGCATTTTCCACAGAAAGTATTCCATGCATATTAAGTCTAGCCTTGACTCTAACTATACTCAAATCTCCTTTTTCTGTAGGTGTTACTCGGTTAATGGAAAATTTGCCAATCCAAGGATTAGAACTCGGAATTTTGTCTGGTTCAGAATAATAAGCTTCAATTTCAAATGGCTCTTTTCGATAAAATGTCAAGATTTTTGTAGACGGAATGCTGTTTGATTTTTGAAATACGACAAGTTCGGATTCTTCGTCAGGGATTTCTGGTATTTTGTTCCACGTAATTTTAATAGGATAAGGAGTAACATCTTGAACACTAAATTCGCGAACTTTGAATACTGGTGAGAGAATAGCGCATTGAAGCGCACTTCCACGAGCAACTGCTTCGTCTTGATTAAGAGTATATTTGAGTTCTTGACCAAAGAATTTTGATATTCTTTCTTTGACAGCTGGAATACGTGTTGATCCACCAACTACTTCAACCGAGTGAATATCTTCTAAAGAAAGTCCCGATTCACGAAATGCTTGTGCAAGTGGTGCTTCTATACGGTTGAGAAGATGTTCACATAGTTTTTCAAATTCTTCACGAGAAAGAATAGCACTAACGTCAATATCATTCATTATTGACTCTACATTAATTGGTGCTTGAGCATTTGCAGAAAGAACTTTTTTCAATTTTTCTACAGCTGTACGAAGGCGAAAAAGTGCTTTCGGATTTGATTTTATGTCAATCTTATATTTTTCCTTAAATAATTCGGCCAAATGATCAATTAAAACCTGGTCAAAGTTTCGTCCACCAAGATGCCTATCGTAAGCAGTGGATTTGACTGTTAATTGTCCCTTGATAAAGGAAACAATTGCTACGCTATAACCGGAATAACCAATGTCTACAAACACGACATTACGAGGTTTTTCTTTGTCCTCGGGCAAGTCAGTCTTTGTAATGCCATAACCTAACGCTGCCGCGCTCGTATCATTTATCAAGCGCAAACAGTTTAAACCGGCGACTTCAGCTGCATCGAGAATTCTACGACGTTGTGAATCTGTGAACCAGCCAGGAACCGAAATTACAACATCAGAAATTGGAATCTTAAGCTCCGCAGAAGTGATATCCTTAAGTTTGGTAAAATACATAGAAACCAATTGCGTAGCAGTAAATACGCGTTGTTCGCCTTGATATTGAACCTATTTCAATAAAGGAAGAAAAATCGTAAATTAGTTGCCATAAGCCTTTGGTTATCATATGAATTAGCGATTCAAAAAATCCAATTTGTCAAGACGCGTATTAAGAGGATCAATTAATAATATATAGATAATTTAATATCACACTATCCTAAAATCATCAGCCAATGTAAAAAAAAAAAATAGGCGTACCTTGACAGCAACTTGCCCATTTTCGTCTACCAATTCTGCATTAACATACTGTTTTTCAACTTCATGAAGCTCACTGTCTTGAAATGAGTAACAAACGAGCCGTTTTAAAGATCCAACTGTATTCTTGAAATTGGAGATCTCTTGAGTTTTGGCTGCTTCTCCCAAATATCTATTTTTAGGACCGAAAGAAACTAAAGACCTAAATAGTCGCGAGCATATTATTTTAGATCTCGAGAATTATCAATTAATATATGCCGCAGTAACGTGTAATTAAATGTTACGTACGGTGTAGTTCGGTTCGAAACCTCATTACAAATAACATCAATACCACGATTACGTGCTACAGCAATCTTGGATTGAAGGGTGCCAAAGTCAATGCCTAAAATAAATTAAAATAAATCAAGATTTTCGTGGTGGAAGTTTAATTATATAATAATCATTGTGTATCTACGTACCTACGACGGACATTATAAAAACTTTATTTCGAATGGAAAGAAAAAAAGACTGCAGCTATAATATCATGATTTTTCGCTTTTAAATAACTTTTATAGGAAAGTTGATCCAACCAATAAAAAAAAATCGGGAACAATCTCGAGGTTCCAGTTCATTCTACAACATTCTTTGATCTATAATACGCAATTGTGACATTCCTAAATTGTTATAAATATGTTGTGATTAGAAATGTGATTATAAAACCTTATATTTTCATTCTTTTGAAGATCCGAATTTTCGGTTAAATTTATTTTTGTATAACATACTCTACAATAATATAAAAATTAAGTGGATGCTTATTTTGTTCAATTTCAAAATCACAACGCAAACCAACTTTTCAAGGGCCATAAGAATGTTAAGGACGATCCACAATTGAGGCGTATCCGGAGTATTACGGAGTATATAACGAGAGTAATTCTATTTTTAACTAGCCATTATAATCGATCAAACTACGCCAAGTAGACTGCCTTATTAATATGAAAAATACAGCATTGAATTGAATTAGATTTTATAATATTTAATTTATTGATAATAAGATAAACTAATTTTTTTAAGATAAAATATTTATACTGTATAGCTGTATGATGTTTAGATAATATATAATATGCAAAAAATATAGTTTACACCCAGTGTTTATTTTTCACGTGCCCGCATTAGTGCGGATTCAATCAAATTGCTTTATTTCAAAAAATCAAGTACAGTCTACCCTCGTTTATATCAACCTATTTGAATTAGTTTAAATTCATGTTGATAGTGATATTAACAAGGGA